GGCATGGCCCATGGCCCAGATCCCATGCCAGGCTCTCAGTCCCAGAATTCAGGCCTCCTTTCCCTTCTCACCCCTTGTTTGGGATGCTCACCCCCAATCAGAGCTGGAGGGTAGTTTGGATTTCCTGTTTTCCAACTATCAGGTATTTGGTGATTTTGTTCTGATCACTAGGTGGCGCGAGAGATCTTTCCTAGTATCCTCTTAGAACTGCTTTTCCCATAGGTCTCCAAGGAACAGAGTCGGGGGAGGTGGTGGAGTGCCTCAACGGCGTGGGAGTGCTGTGTCTGCTATGTATCCCATCATCGTGGGGATCCCACGTACCAAATTTTGTGCCCCAGTTCTCAGTTCCGATGTTCTCAGATACGATGTGGGCTGTAGCCCAGTTTACTGCCCTCAGATACGGTGCAATTCATCCATTTGATTCATGTGTTGCTTTAATTTCTTCTGTGATATCTGCAAATCTGTATATTATCTGACTCTGCTTCTAATGCTAATGGTCACCTTTGTAATTTTATGTTAAATGAGATACATGATGTTGTGGGAAATAGAGACTGAGCTAAGGCCTTTATTGTGATATATTATGTAATCTGCAAGAAGTTGATTTGGGTATTGTGTCCATAGTTCTTGCTGCCCCCGAGTTCAAACAAATCTAGTGCCCATGCAGTGTCCCTGCTTCTCTTTGTGTTTCTATAGGAACTGGTCCTTAGATATTTGGCATATAATACACTGTTATATACTAAAGTTCTTTAGCTGTGTGATGTGGTATGTATGTAGAGTTGAGTCTATGATCATAGGTATAATTTTAAGCATTCATAGGGCATGTGTCCCCAACAGTGACCTTCAAAAGTGTGATGAGCTGTTGTTGGGGAAAGATCCTCCTGCTATCTGGGCTAAGGCTCAGGTAAAGAATATTCTCCCAAAGTGTTTGTCTTTGCTTCAAAGAGAATGCTCTGTGTTATTTCCCAGATCTTGTGGACCCGATGTGGATCCTGTTCCTAATCCATTTGAATGTGGTTCCATCTACCAGCCAAGCACCTTTCTTCCAAAGACTCGGTCACAGGGGTTTTCCCTTTCAATTGGCCCAGCTTCAACTTGCAGCATTTCAACCTCAGCTTGTGTGAATGGCCAAAAATCATAAAAAATATTTTTACAAGTTAAGAAAAGTCAAGTTAAGAAATGATTAAAAATGATATTTAATTTGTTAGTGCTGTTTATAAGTAGTTTGTTTTTCACACAACCAGCATGTAGTTATTGTTTTGAAATAGATATTTGCTGAAAGTTTTGAACATACATCAGTCAGCAAAGTGTATTTCCTGAGGGAGAGACTGCACATATTTGTGAGATAGCTGTAACCATTTTTTCAGGGTCATTAAGGACAGGGAGATAATTGCTACAGGCTTTGCCTAAGGGACCAAGCTGCAGTTGGGGACAATCATTTTGAGGGCTGTTTGTGCAATGGTAAATTGACTCTGGCCTGTTGAAGCAATGGTTTCAAGGTATTTAATCTGTGTGTTCAGGCGGGCTGTGTGTCCTGTACTGGAAAAAGCAAGAAATGTACGGCAGCACTGTGTAAGTAGCATTCATTTTGTTCCTATGAGTAAGTAGGAGTTTGTTTCTCTAGAAGAGAAGTGTGGTATGTTTCCTTAAGTTGCCTAATATATGATGCTGTTCCCTAGCATATAATGGAACAACTAAGACAATCCCATCCACTTAAATTAATGGCACATCTGCCAAATATCAATATTAGCAAGTTTTATTCCATCCAAGTAAGCAGTTTAGTTATTTTGGAACTGGCATTTATGTACTAGTACTGCATGAAAGGCAATTTCTGATTTTGAGTTGATAATCACATTTCCTTTTATTTTCAAATAGGTGCAATTTGTTACTGTCATTCTTCATGGCAGTGGTCAGTTATATGAAGAAAGAGGGGTGAAGTGTAGAAATACCAGCTGCCTCTCCTCTCTGGTGTTCAAAGCCTTTCCTGAAAGACTTTTTGAAACCTGGAGGGAATGAATTTGTTGCAAATGTGTAATTAAGTTTTTTTTCAGATACATGAGCAGTCACTTAAGTAAAATTATATATTTCCCTTGGTTTACTCTCAATAGACACTGTTGGTTGATTTCAGTTATTCATGTCCTTTATTCTAAAGGGATAGACTTTTCAGATTTTAAGTCAAATACATAGTGTTTTATAAGATTTATTTAATTTTTATATAAGAACCGGGGTACAGGCCAGATGTGAGGGAAAGGAAGAGGATTCACTGGAGACAGAGTGGGGAATGGAACAGGCAGACTGACTGAAATACACTGCTGAGGGGAGCAGTGGGTGAGACAGGAGAGGTCCGTTGCACCATGTGGGATTCTCGCTGGCTGGCTAGGATCGAACCTGCACTGCAGTGGCTGTGGACAGCTTCACAGTGCAGCACTCAATCCACTGTGCCACCAGGGAGGCCCAACTACAAATTATTTTTTCCTTTGTGTTTTTATGTACTTTTGCATATACATGCATATAATGTTTTCTGGGCTTCTCTAAGCACCACAATTTAAATACAAATACAAATGCAAATACAAATACTGTTCATGAAAATGTCTTTGACCATTTTTCATTGTTGGCATTGATGCATGCCACTCAGGAAAGCTTTGAGCAGCACCAGTTACACAATTTTGGAGGCCATTAAAAAGTATTTAGGGGGCCTCCCTTGGTGGCACAGCAGTTGAGCACTGGGCTGTGAAGCTGCCTGCAGACTGACTCTGCAGCGACAGTTCAATCCCTGGCCACCAGTGAGGGTCACACATGTTGCTACACACCTCTCCTGCCGTGCCCACTACTCCCCTCAGCAGTGTATTTCGTCACTCTGCCTATTCTGTTCTCCACTCTGGCTCTGGTGAATTCTCTCACCCTCCCGCACTTCTGACAGTACCCAGTGCTTGCATAAATAAACAAATAAATCTAAAAAAAAAAGTAAAAAAAAAGTATTTAGAAAAAAGTGTAATGTTAAATTCCTTGTAAAATTTATTTTATTTCAATTATCCCATAAAAATTATTATTTCAAATGGAAGCATTATTTAGCTCTCTCTGGAGCTGCGAAATAAGTGACAACCCTGTTTTCCTAGAGATAAGGAGCATGTAAAGTCCCATGAATATCTTCTCCGTGAACCTCCAGCTCGCATGGCCCTCCTTGTGATACATACTCTGCTGTTACATTTGCCTTAGAATTTAGGGCTGAGGAACAGGGGATTTTGTATACAGTGCGGTGGAGAAGACCCTAGACTTACCACTTTGTCTGGTACATTGGGTATATAAATGATACTTGTTTTTTTAAAGACTTCATGTGCTATTTTACATATAACAATATTGAATCTATGAAATTCAGCACAGGGACTGTTGCGTGTTCATGTAAGTATCCCCCCATGATCAACCCTTCACCCACACTAGGTCCCACTGAGCTCCGTATCATCTCTCTGTAGGACTGATGTGAGGGTAAGGATGGCAGATGTTCCTATCTCTGTGTGTCATAGAAACCAGTGGCAGGTTTCTGACAGTGGGATTCAAGTGTTGTCAGCAGAACTGACTGCACTTGATAGCTGCTCTTGCTATCAGTTAATACAATGCCATTTTAATATGAAAAATTTTTATGTGTTATTATTACTTTAATTCATGAAAGTTTTTCATTTGCATCCTATCCAATAGAAAAGTAGCTTAAATGAATATAAAAATATGAACATTTTTCATTCAGCATGGAACTGATACCCAAAATAATCTCAGAAAGTATGCTTTCTACTGCCCTTGTCACTGCAGATGTTGCTTTAAGTTCACGTTGGAACAAGACCAAGAAGGAGAGAAAATAAAGGAGAAAAGAAATCCCTGGGGATCTTGTAGCCCTGAGGTTGCTGTGCCTCCATCTGTAGGGCAGTGAGTCCCCTTTGCTTCCCACTCAGAAACAAATTTCCCACATGCAGTGTGCTCCTGCAGGCACATATGTGTGCCAACTGCTGCCCTTGGACCCTCTTTCTTTCCAGAGTCACTGTGTCCAGGTCTGCACATGTTAGTGCTCTGTACTCTCCTCCCCAGGCTCTTGCTTCTTTGACTAGATCCACAGACTCAGTATAACTGTGCAGCTTCAAGCAAAATTCCTATTTAATTATGTGTTTATAAAATGAATCTTCAGAGAAAAAAATTCCTTTTTACAACATGAGAGTTGTGGAGTTAATTGGAAATTATTGTGGAAAGATTTAATTGATGAAAGCTTTATTGTGACCTTGAAATTTTCTCCCTATTTTCCACATATGCTTTATCCCCCTGATGACTACAGAAGGAATCAAATAGACTTGTGTGTTTCAGTGTATATTTAGGGTAGAGTGCAGCTTGATGTGATTGCCTGAGACTTTCAATTTCTAGAAAACTTTTTTTTTTTAAACGTTTTTATTTTTTTTTATTTTTTTATAGAGTCATGTTTTTATTTATTTATTTATTTGTTTGTTTGCTTTGTCTATACATGCACTGGGTACAGTCAGAAGCACAGGAGGGTGAGAGAATTCACCAGAGCCAGAGCGGGGAGCAGAGCAGGCAGAAGGACCGAAGTTCGCTGCTGAGGGGAGCAGCGGGCGGCAGGAGAGGTCTGCGCGCCATGTGGGACCCTCCTCAGGTGGCCGGGGAGCAGCCAGGGATCGAACCGGCACCACAGAGGCCGCGGGCAGCTTCGCAAGCCAGCGCTCAACCGCTGCGCCACGGGGGAGGCCCTAGAAAACTTTTGATAACAAAGATGTCATTAAACTATTAAGCTTTAACAACATATCTGACCATTCTGCAGTGTGGAGTAGTCTGATATCTCATGAGATCCTTTATCAAAGTCACATATACTGATTTACTGAGTATGAAGAGTTGGGACATAAATGGATTTGAGATATGAGAAAGTTGGGTATGATTTGATTTGGTAAAATTTTTTATGGACTGCAAATATACTACTTTTGAAGAACACTCCAAAGTTTCAAATTGGGAGCATGAGCATGGCATGGCTGAACAATCAGACCTCAGGCAGTGATTTTGTCCTCTTGGATCTTTTCCATAGCACCCCGGTGCCCTGGGTCCTCTTCACACTCATCCTGCTTGATTTCCTGGTGGCCCTGTTCGGCATCACCATAATAATCATCCTCATCTGGGCCGACCCTCTTCTCCACTCTCCCATGTACTTTCTGCTCATCCAGCTGTCCCTCATGGATCTCCTCTATATCCCCATGTTTGTCCCCAAAATGGTGGTGGACTTTCTATCTGGGGATCATCGAATCTCTTTTATTGGGTGTAGCTTCCAGATGTTCCTCTTTGTCACCCTTGGGGGCTCAGAGTGCCTGCTGCTGATGGTCATGGCTTATGACATCTATGCGGCCATCTGCCACCCTCTGCGCTTCCTCATCCTCATGGGTCCCAGGGTCTGTGTGCTCCTGGTGCTTGTGAGCTGGCTGGGTGTATTCTTCAATTCCTTGATCCATGTGGTCTATACTCTGACACTCCCTTATTGTGTCTCCAGGGAAATTCATCATTTCTTCTGTGAAGTCCCAGCGCTCCTGAAAGTTGTCTGTGCTTACGCTTCCCAATATGAAAAGGGTATTTCTGTCACTGCTGTGATTTTTTTTGTCCTTCCCATCTCTGGCATTCTTTGCTCCTATGGGAGGATACTCTTCACTGAACTGGGCATGGGTTCAGGCCAGGGATTCAGGAAAACCTGGGGTACTTGCTCTTCTCATGTGACCGTGGTGTCCCTCTTCTATGGGGCTGCCATCATTAAGTACATTCTGCCAAAGTCCTCCCACTCCCCTGTAGAGGAAGAAGTGGTCCCTGTGTTCTACACCATCATAATGCCCATGCTCAACCCCCTCATCTACAGCCTGCAGAACAAGGATGTCACTAGAGCTTTTCGGAAGGTTTTCAGAGTGTGAGGAATTGGAGTTTGCTGTGTCTACCATAAACCCATAATAGTGTTGCCTTTTGCTTTGAAAGTGAGCAGAAGATGTATTTGTACAGATACACATATACATGTAACTATAAAGAGAGTTATTTTGAGAAATACAGGATAAAAACACATAATCATGTACCTAGTAATCAAATATAATTTCCTTTAAAAACATTTAATGATGTATACTTTTGTAGTCAATGATAACATAAATATGGATATTGATTATTCCTTTGATAAATAAGGTTTTCCTATGTAATCATCATATTGATTGTACTTTCCAAATGTACATCTTCAGAACCAGGAGTCATGATGCCCTTAAGCAATTGTCTGTATTGAGAGTTGATGTATCAAAACTATCATTGTAATCAACACAATTATAGCAAATCCAAAGTGTTTAATTCTTGGAAATTTCAAGATGTTCCTAAAGCATTGCTTGTTTTAAATACCTCACCTGGAATTCTGAGTGAAAATATATTCAGATATCTATGTATTAGTATACATTATTTAATGTTTTGTAAACTTTAAATTGAGTTATAATTGATGTATAACATTTTTATTCAGGAGTACAACATAATGATAGACCTTCGAATACATTATGAAATGTTCACAGTGCACAATCACCATCCAACCCACACCAGGTTAACTGTCAGGATACAGCTTCTGACCTCACTGGACTCACCCAGGAATCCGCACCCATTCCACCTGATGACCCCCTTTATCTCTCTCTCTTTTAAAAAGATTTATTTTTTATGCATCCAAGGACTGTGGTGCAGGCCAGAGGTGCAGTGCATGTGAGGATTCCCCAGAGACATAGAGGGGAACAGAACAGATGGACTGAAACACAGTGAGAGGAGCAGCGGGGAGACAGGAGATGTCTGCTGCGCCATGTGGGTGGCTCCCTGGCCGGGGATCGAACTCATGCTGCAGTGGCTGCAGACAGCTTCATAGTGCTGTGTTTAACCCCTAGCACCATCAGGGAAGCCCTGGTGACCACCTTCTTTCTGTGTCCAGTTTGTTCTGTGTGTAGATTTCCTTGTAAGTGAAATCATAAATATTTGTCTTTTTTCTGTTTGAGTTTTTCCCTTTGCATTACTCTCTCTCGATTCTCCATGTTGTCACATGTGGTGGCATTTCATTTGAAAAAGGAAAAGTTTGAAGGTTTTACATTATATAGATATATACTTACACACCCACACACGTGCACAGACACACACACGCAACACACTTCCTTCATCCCTTCATCCATTTGGCCCTTATGTTCCCACGGTGAGTGCCGCTGTGAGGAACTTAGGTGTGCAGACATCTTCCCAAGTTCATTCTTTCCATGTCTTGGATAAATACCCGGATTGGGGTTTCTGGATCACATGGTAGTTTTATTTCCATGTGTTTCCACTGACAGAGCATGGGAGTCCCCTTTCCTCAACATCTTTCCAGCACTTTGGTTTCCTGGAGTTTTGACCTCGGTATTCAGTCATTTCCCATGGGCCATACTTCCAAGATTCCCAGTCTTGAGAGAGAGTAAGTTTGGGATGATCCCCAGGTCAGACACACTGGCAGGTGCCCTCTTGGTGGCTTCATGCAACCTGGGTGACTCCAAGCACCAGGGGGCACCCTCTTGGCATCCCCTGCACCCTCCCCTCACCCCCCGCTACTCAACAGTGTGAGAAAGTCCATGTGAGAGCTCCACCCACCTCTGCAATGTAACCACTGTGGTGCGAGAAGCCACCTCATTTCACAGGTAGGTAGGGCCTGGAATCACCTGGCACCTCATCACCTGAGCACAAGGAACTTCTGTCCATGAGGGCCTGGCATCCAGAACTGCCACGCCCCATTGCGCAGTCCCTACAACTGGTGGGTGAATCCATCTCTTGGTTTCATTGATCTTTTGTATTTTTGTTTGTTTGTTTGTTTGTTTCAATTTCATTTATTTCTTTTTTATTATTTCTTTTCTTCTACTGGTTTTGGGATTTTGTTGTTGTTGTTCTTTTTCTAGATCTTTGAACTTCAATATTAGGTTGTTTCTTTGAGTTCTTTCTTGTTTCTTGATGTGAGCCTCTATTGCTATATATTTTCCTCTTATTACTGCTTTTGCTGCATCCCATACATATAGGAAATTGGTGTCCTCCTTGTCACTCAATTCAAAGAATTTTTTTTTAAATTTCTTCTTTGATCTCCTTGTTTTTCCACTGGTCTTCCAGTAGTGTGGATTTCAATCTCCACGAGGCAGGAGAGTTCCTTGCCTTCTTTTTATGGTTTATTTCTAGTTTGATGCCTTCATGGTCAGAAAAGATGGTTGGTATGATTTCAATCTTGTTGTATCTGTTGATGTTTGTCTTGTGTCCCAGTATGCGGTCGAACCTGGAGAATGATCCGTGTTTGATTGAGAAAATGTGTACCCTGTTTTTTTTGGGGGGGGTTTTGTTTTATAGATGTCTGCTAAGCCCACGTACTCTAGATCCTTATTTAGAGCTTTAGTGTCTTTACTTATTTTTTGTCTCCTTGATCTATCCATTGTTGATAGTGGTGTGTTGAAGTCTCCCACTACGTATGTGTTTTCTCTGATATCTGTTTTCAGAGATGACAATAGTTGTCTGATATATTTTGGTGTTCCTTCATTAGGTGAATATATGTTAATGACTGTTATTTCTTCTTGAAGTATTGTCCCCTTGATCATAATGTAGTAACCGTTGGGGTCTCTTTTTATCTTTTTGAGTTTGAAATCTATTTTATCTGATATAAGTATAGCTTTCTTGCTTCCTTTTTTGGTCCATTTGCTTGTAGGATTGTTCTCCATCCTTTAACTTTTATTCTATTTTTATCTTTTGTAGCTAAATGTGTTTCTTGGAGACAGCAAAAGGTTGGGGTTTGTTTCTTAATCCAGCCTGTAACTCTGTGTCTTTTTATGTAAGAGTTTAGTCCATTTACATTGAGTTAATATTGATATGTTAGCATCTGTATTTGCCATTGTGTTTGTCTTTCCCTTGATTTTATTTATTTATTCTTTTAATAACTTTTTTTTGGCCTTCTTTCATTGTTATTCATTCCTCTGAGGTTCTGGCTTTAGGATTCCTTGTAGTATTTTTTGGAGTTGGGGTTTAGTCGTAATGAAATTCCAGAGTTTCTGTTTGTCTGGGAAGGTCCTTATTCTTTCATCATAGAGGAAGGAGAGCTTTGTGGGATAGAGTATTCTTGGTTGGCATCTGTTTTCTTGGAGTCTGTTGACTATGTCCCTCCACTCTCTCCTTGCCCGTAGAGTTTCTTTGGAGACGTCTGATGTCAGCCTGATTGGTTTTCCTTTGATTGTTATCTGTTTCTTCCCTCTTGTCAGCTTCATTATTTTTCCTTGTCCTGGATTCTTGGGAGCTTTACTATTATGTGCCTTGCTGTATTTTTCCTTTCGTCGTGGAAGTTTGGTGTTCTTCTTGCTTCTTGTATATCAATTTTCAGCTCCTTCTTCACGTTTGGGAAGTTCTCTTCAATTATCTCCTTGAATATTTTTTCTGTTCCTACATCTCTCTCCTCTCCTACTGGGATTCCTATAACTCTTATATTTCCTTTCCTCATGGAGTCAGATAGTTCCCAAAGTCTTTCTTTGGTCTTTTTCCTTTGTACTTCTCTTTCCTTTTCTGTTTTGGTTATTTATATTTCTGTGTCTTCAAGAGTACTTATTCGTTCTTCCATTTCATCTATTCTGCTTTCATTGCTTTTCCCAGAGTTCTTTAGTGCCTCCATTAATTCTTTGATCTCCTGCATTTCTTTTAATTCCCTCTTTAGGGACTCAATTTCATTCTTCTATTTGTTGATTACTTTACCCTTATCATTGTTTTCCTTTATGACTTCTGTCAGTTTTTTAATCATGACAATTTTAAATTCTCTTTCTGGAAGGCTCAGAAGTTCTTCCAAGTTACAGTCGTTGCAATCTGGGGGTGGTTTTCTTTTTGTGGTGTGCTTTTTTTTCTGAGTAGTTGCTGGGTTGTTTGTGGTTTTTCTACTCCCTACTGCCTGTTTTCTAATTTGCCATATGCATTGGGACACTGTGTTGCTGGGACTGGCCGGCATCTTGGGCGAACTTCCCAGCTCACCTCTGTCTCTTCCAGGAGCCATCTGCCGGTTTCTAGCAGGCTTTACTGAAGAAAGGTCCCTGTTCTAAAAAGGCGATGAGATTTCAAACTCCTCTGTGTGCCCGGTCTGCCCCGGCGGTGGGTTCCCGCTCCCCCTCTGGGCTGGGACAGCAGGCTAGAAGGGGCCTGGCATGGGTGAACTTCCCAGCTCACCTCTGGCTCCTCCGGGAGCCTTCTGCCAGTTTCAAGCAGTCTTTACTGAAGAAATGTCCCTGTTATAAAGTGGCGATGTAGGGACGCACACCCTGTGCACCCATTCTGCCCCAGTGGTGGGTTCCTGCTCCTCCTCTGGGCTTGGACTGCAGGCCAGAAGGGGCCTGGTGTGGGCGAACTTTAAGCAATTTTTTTTTAATGTCTTTGGAAAATGCCATTGAAGTTTTTATTGGGATTACACTGAATCTGTAAATTGCTTTGGGTCAGATGCACATTTGGTATGTTGATTCTCCCAAGCCAAGCGCAGGGAATATATTTCCATTTCTCTGTTTTTTTCTATTTCTATTAACAATATCTTACTCTTTTTCTTGGCATCTTTACCTCCTTTGTTATGTTTACTCCATGGTACTTCATTCCATGATTATATGTGGGATTGTTTCCTTAAATTATTTTCTAGTTAATTTTGTGCATATAGAAGGCAATTGATTTTTGTGTGTTTTTTTTTAAAGGTTGGTTTATTTAATAAGTTAACACAAGTTGACAACATTGTGTTTATTTATTTATTTATTTATTTATTTATTTATTTATGCAAGCACTGGGTACAGTCAGACGCTCAGGAGGGTGAGAGAATGCACCAGAGCCAGAGCAGGGAACAGAACAGACAGACTGATGAAATACACTGCTGAGGGGAGCAGCGGCTGGCAGGAGA